CCCCAGCCAGGTAGGCATCGAGCCGCTTCTTAAAGACCCCCAGGGTAGGAGCCAGCACCACTTCCCTTGGAAGTTGGTTCCAGATCCTAGCCGCCCTAACTGTGAAGTAGTTCCTACGGATATCTAATCTAAACCTACTCTCCAACAACTTGTGGCCATTATTCCTTGTTATCCCGGGGGGCACTAGGGGAAACAAGGTCTCCCCCAAACCCTTCTGGTCCCCCCTAGTGAGTTTATAGACAGTCACAAGGTCCCCCCTCAGCCTTCTCTTGTGAAGGTTGAACAGGTTCAGGTCCTGTAGCATCTCATTGTAGGGTCTGCTCTGCTGTCCCCGGATCATGCGGGTGGCCTTCCTCTGGACCCTCTCAATGTTGTCCACATCCCTCTTGAAGTGGGGTGCCCAGAACTGGACACAGTGGGGTGCCCAGAACCCATGACGAATGCTTAACTCTTACATAGTTCTCAAATAGATTCATAAATAGCTGCAGACACCATTTATTAGGTATCTAAGTGTTCCTTAGACTTCTAAATGCAATCCTATTATACCCTGCATGAATATCTGAAAAGCTATAGATGCAAGAAGTGGGAGACATTGCCAATTCCGTTCCCTTTATTTTTAATTAAGTATTTATACTACTGCCATCTTGCCGAGTTCAGCTGAAGTTGGCCGAGATGGAAGCTTATTATAAGACTATGAAAGACTTAATACCAGCATTGCTTACACTAAAAACAAAACAAAACAAAAAACCCCATGGCCTCCAACCTCTCAACTACAGATTTAAAGGCTAAGTAAGAATTTCTACATTTGTAGCAAAAATCAAAGAACAGCAAATAATGAAGAATCATCACCTGAGCAATGAACAGTTTTTAAGGCAATTTGAGCAGTGGACAAATAAGAGTAGAAGTGAATAGAGTGCCAGGATGCACTTCAAGTCAGAGACCCACATTTCAGAACATTTCTGGACCCCTTTTTATACTATTGTATCCCCACTACTTCAGTTAGCTGATCATATTAAGTCTATAGATATGCTTCAATATAAATCAAATATGCATTAATAGTAGTTAATGGGGGTAGAGGGCAGAACATCTTCAGAGTTTCCTGAAACCGCTGGTAAGAGAGCAAAAACTAGATATTTTGGAAATGGATACCTTTCATGGGTGTAAGAGGTAGAGAAAAGCTATAGACTCAAAATAGAAGTCACAGTCCTCTTTTTTCTAACTATTGACCTAATACAGCTTTACTGTACTCTGAAAAAGACTTTTGGGTCTAAAAATCAGGATTTGTCGCATTTGATACAGATATTGTACTCTGCAATTTAATTTCTAACAGCCTATCAAATGTGTGAGCTCACAGTGAAGGAAAGTTAGTCTCTCTAGATCAATCGTTTCCCATTTTTCAGAGCTGGTTTTATTACTGAACAGTCTAGGAAGTTTTACTGTTGGTTCTCAGACTTCCTCTCTGGAATTCTAAGAAGTAGATGTGAATTCTAAAGCTATGACTGTTGGCATTTCACATTTCCATAGTAAATTACTCCTTCTGTGACAGCAAAGCTGCAGAAGCTCTTTGAAAACACATGGATATACATGTGTCTAGAGAAAAAGAGATCAGGAAAGTAAAAGAACATAACCACTGAGGTTAGAACTTTCAGGTGGAACAAATCTACTAAGGTTCCCCGGTTCCTCTGTAGCTAGCTAAAGATATCCAGGACCACTCTGAATGGAAGGGGATCACAGAAAAGGGAAGAGTAGTTATGGAAATGCAGGTTTCTTTGAAGTCATTCAGGTTCAACTGGAACTTCGGCATTCATACCAACTTTAAACTCTAGGAAAACATCAACAGTTACAAAATTGCTGTCCCCAGGTGTGCTGCTCTTCATGGGCTGCCTCCTAAACCAGAAGTAGTATCTCTGCCTCTACAGGCTCTTAGGAGTGAGCTAATTTGCACTGCTGAATGACAGTGACAATTAACTAAGTTAAGCTACTTAGCCTGCCCAGGCAGATGTGGCTACACCAGCGGTGCTCAACCCTTAGGCTTTGCAGGCCAGATGAGTGCCACAGGACCCATCTGCAGGTCAGAATGGGCCCTGCATGCCAGGATTGAGCTTCAGGGCCCTGTACCACCTCCATATTCCAGGACCAGGTCCCTTTGTGCCACATGATATCCTTTTAGCCATTTTAGCAGTAACACTCACCTACAATGCACCAAAAAGGGGAAAGAACAGGTAGGAAAAACCATTAATGCTTAGAGTACAAATCTATCCCTGCACACTGGGATTGAACCCCACACCACTCCCACATGCAAGGCTACACTATCCAGCCCACAGGGCTCCCCATGCATTTGGAAATTTGGCAGCAATGGAGTGGTGCCACCGCTCCCCCGCTACAAAATTTTCGGACTTGCAAGGAGCCCTGTAGGCTGGATGACATGACACCAGGAGCTGGATCTGGCCCATGGGCAGGAGTTGAGCACCCTTGGGCTACACTGCTTTCAGTTTAGAAGACAGCCTTCCTAGAGCAACATCAAGTGCTTGGGGGTGCTGCTGCCAGAGACTGAGTTTACCATAGAGACAAAGCCCAAGTAATCTGATGGCTTCAGCTTGCCATTGCTCTGTGGACTGATAGCAGTGGATTTTGTACTGCCTTCTTTAGTAACTTCCAAAGCCAACCAAAAATAAATGGGCATCCACATAAGCAGCTGTTGTAGTGGCTGCAGCTGGAGATAAGCAAATGCCAATTTAGAAACATCATGGGACAATTCACCACTATAACTGCTACAAAAGATGCTCTTGATAGAAGAAGCATCTTACCCTATTATCATAGACCTTCTTGAGTGCTTCATAGCGGATGGATCCTTGAAAGATCACTCCTTGAAAGGTGTTGCTTTTGTCACTGGCTACCAGCTCCACGCAGACCATTTCTCCTTCCCCAACAGTCATGTCACTGAACACCTGAGAAGACACCCAAAAAAATCAAACACATAAGAGGAGATCTGCAGTGGTTAGATGCCTCAGACAGAGCTAAAGCATATTTGGGTCTCCGGGCTTTGCTTCAGTCCATTAGAAAAACAGTGAATTGAGATTGTGGATTGAGATTGAGATCTGGATTTAAACAATCGGAGTTTGAGGTGCTAAGGTCATAGTTAAAGGGAAAGAAAAAAAATAAAACCAAGAAAGCAAGAAGGATTTGTCTGGATGCCACAGTCCTGGTAGTGTATGAAGAGTAATTAAAGAAAACTGTCAGCAGGGCAGTGGGAATTTATCAAGACAGATGAATAACAGGCAAGTGAGTTACAAAGACAAAAATTAGGAAAAAGATTCTACGCTTTAATGATGGACCCACCTCTTCAAAATTGTCGATCATGAAGAATATATTGGGGTAGCTGATCTTTGATTCCTCTCCTTTGCTGTCCATTGGGTGTTTGCTGGGAGATGCAAACACTTGCTGCAAGAGATTTTGTACAATTATATGCCTTATCTGTTTAAATATATGTGGAAATATGGATACTGGAAACAAAACAAAACAAAACCACCAACCAGCAGTGCACAACAATAGTGTCAGCAGGTCATTTGCAGATACCAAGGCAGATTCTAGACTTTATGTATTAACTTTTAGTTATTATTTGTTCCACAGGACATTGAGTTCAACATCACTTGGTGGGAAAATATATTCCTCTCTAGGGTCTCTGCTGTTCCTTCTCTCTTTCTCTTTCATCCCCTCCTCTCTCTCTCCCCCTCTAACCTTGGTGCCTCTGTCCTCCTCCCTTCCCATCTGCACCTCCTTTTCTGCAGCAATTACCAATTCCCACACCATTTCCCATGTCATCCTCTAAAACGCCCAACAAAATCATTAATGCATCTTCAATGGGCTTTAGTCATTACTGTAATAAGGATTAATGGGCACAAAGGTGGAAAACAGCTCAAGCATTACTTTCAACTCTGTATATACTTGGAATGTTATCTTCACAACCATGACGGCAAGAATTTTAATGCACTATCAATATCTCCAATATACTTCTATTCAAAACTACTACTCCAAACTGTTTAGCATGGAATGAGGCCATGGGTGAGAGATTTTCTGGATTATTGGTTCAATCTGGCATAGCAATCCTGTGCATGCACACACATATGCACTCAGTATTCAGAAAAAAAACAAAACCTGTGTTATACTGACAACTGTCATTATAAATAAGTTGCATTATAGAGCTCCTAATAGAAGAACTAACAAAGCAGAGCAACAGCAATGACTGAGACACAGCAGTCTTCCAGGTCATAATCCTAGTCCTGCACCAGGAATTTTATAGCAGCATTATCAAGAGCAAAAATGGTTTTGTTTTAGTGTGATGTTATGATGAATGGCACTACCAGGGAAAATCGGAAGAGGAAGACTGAAGATGAGATGGAGAGAAATAGTGGAGAGGTACATGAGAGATGAATTGGATTAGGAAGATAAGTATGACCAAAGCCAGTGAAGAGCCAGGATCTGCAACGGCAACCCCATTTAGGTGGGACAAGTGAAGGAAGAAGAATAAATTATAATGAAAACATGGAGTTTGTAGAAAATGTTAACAGTCTAGTCAGGCAGAGACTCATGTAGTTTGCAAAATGATACAGGACCAGGTTTAGTAATATTTTACTTTAGTTTTATATGGCCATGACTCTGCTGATCTTGATGAAATTACTCCTGCACAACCCTGGGATAACAAAGTAATAAATAAAGCTCATAAACAATGTGACCTTTAAAAGGAAAAACAGTTTCTCTAGGTTAGGAAGTTTGAAATTTTCATCTAAGAGCCATTCTATACAATTGGCTGGGAAAAGACAACTCTATGCAACATATTAGGGGTTGGGGTTTTCCCATTCACCTCTCTGCATCAGTCAAAATCTAGCTAATTAGTACTTTGAGAAGCTGTAAAGTCATCTTAATTGTGACAGCTTTGAACCTTCAGTCAGAGGATAATCCTGAAAAACCTAAGAATGTATACACACGTTGGTTGTTTCTGGCGCATGAAGATGTGTTTATGCTATCGTACAAACTGATCTTGAGAAGTAAACATGTAGTAGAACTAAGAGCATTCTTGTAGGGCTTTCATTACTGCAGTTACTTTCTTATCCTGCATTTCATTTTAGGTTTTCCCAGGTTCTCAAAATTTAGCCTTCAAGAGTGATATTGCTAGTTAGTTATTAGCTATTATTTTTTCCCTTCACAAGATTCACTGTTTTTGCCTTCTTGCTTGTCAAGTAATTTTCAGTATGGAATTTTATTCCAAAAATAAGCCAAGCCTCCCTTCTACTGAGAGGCTATGAGTGCACACATACACAAACAGAAAATAAACTGTATTATACCGACAACCATTATTATAAATAAGTTGTAATATGCATGCATAAGGATAATTCAGGACAAGCAGAGTTCTACAAGATTTTTACTGCAACACTGGAAAAGCAGGAACTTGCACCAAACTTGCTGCTGTTCTGAGCATATCGACAAACAGTAATACTTGGCTTTTCTACAGAAGTTTTCTACAAGGAAAAGAATGTTTCTTTCTTGCCTTCCTCCATTCCAAACAATCTCTTTGCCTTATCCTAGATAAGGGAAGTTACAGTTGTAAACACTGATTTTTAGGGATCACTTTTATCAGTGACTACCCTGGGTACTTTTAAAAGCAACTCTTGTGTAATTTCAAGAACAGATTTTAAGGTTTGCTTTTGTTTGGGGGTTTATTTTTATTGTGCTGTAGTATGTAAATTTATTTAAATTGAGTCTTTAGCAAGGAGGACTAGCCTTGATCTTTGTTAACTGTTCTGCACTCCATGGCTGTGTCCAGACAAGCACAGCCGTACGGTATGTCGTGCCTCAGTGCCACATGTCTGTGGCGCCACATACCGCACGTTGAGTCAGTCTCTGCACTGCAAGGGAGCAGCTTGGAGGATTTTTTTTTTGTTTTGTTTTTTACACCTGGATATTCAAGGGTAAAAATAAAACGTGGGGGAAAAAAAGGTGGAGTGGCACTCGCATGGGCAGCGTGTGCTGCTCAAAAGTGGAGCCTGGCCATCCCAAGTTGTGCCGTGGCTGCCGGCCAGGCTCCACACAGCAGAATTGCTACTGCTGGGAGGCCTCCAGGACCCCAAGTAAGGCTGCTGGGCCAGCCTAGTGCTGGCCCCAGCCTCCCCTACCCTTCCCAGGGTAACTTGCTATGCACCAGAGCACACGTGGCACAGGCATCCCCCAGGGACAAGTAGTTGCACAAGGTACGCCACCACTAATTGTTCCCAGAGAACCAAACATCAACACCACGTGTGGATGTGGCCCGTGAGTTCTCAAACTATTCCACTTAGAGAGCCTCCCACCCACAATGTATACCTTCCCAGCCATGTATCATAGTTGGATACATAAAAAACAAAGCATTGAAAGCCAAGAGATAAATGTTTCTGGATTAGGGTAGACAATTGCTTATTTCCAGGCTCTATAAAGATTTGATCTTTTAGTAAGATCAAGTCTCTCTTCCTGACCTGCAGCCCCCAATACAATAATCTTTCCTGGCTACTACGTGGTTCAGCCCACTTCCGGGTTTGCTATCTTTACCATTTTGAGGTGCCCTTCAGATGTGATAACAGTTCCTTCACCAAAACAACACCCACCTAATAAGCAAAGGAATGAAAGTAGCTCTGCAGAGTTTTGGAAGGCACACTTTCTTTTCATTTTTATTTGAAGAGTCCAAATAGACTCTGGGACACAAATAGCAAGAAATGTTCCTGACTGAAAAGACAAGCTGTTTCAGAGACAAAACATTTGTTACAGGCCACAACTGGAGAACCACCATCATGATTGTATATATTTTTTCTGAAAAAGGGAATTTTGGATGCTAAATTCTTGTCTTTGAGATTTGTAAATGTGCCTCACCTGAGATTTCTTTTTGTGAATATGAATATCCCCTCCATCTGAGCGAGTGCACACAGCACAGGTTACTATGTAATCCAACTGAAACAGAAAGCAGGGCGGGTAAACAGAGGTTTACAGCTAAATATTGAAGTGCAAAAGCAGCAAACATACTTCATTCACGTTTTTCAGCTTTTTATCTAGCATCTCAAAGAAACTGTTTCCTTTCTGCCTCAGAGCACTGAATACACTGAAACTACAGCTGGATTTTCTTTTCTTTTTTTTTTTAAGAGTTAGGCCAGACCTATTTTGACAATGCTTTCAGTACTGTCAAAGACCATTGCTTTGTGGATACAGCCCACTATAGATATCAGCGTCCAATCTCTACCAGCATTTAATTTGGATGCAATTTTACAGGTCACCTGGAAGGATAGGTAGGCTACATGAAAGATCCAGTTTAAGAGGGAAATAGGAGAAAACACCTCCCTAGATTTGGAAAAATGGAAAACTTAATGAAAGAGGGCAATGTGCTAGATGCATCGAAAACCATAAAGTCTGCCATGTGATCAGAGAAAACTTGCACCAAGCATTTCCCAGCTTCAATAAATTCTCAGAGTTACAGTGAAATGATTCTCTGGGATTCTACCTTAAAATGAGGGATAATTGCTCTCTGAACAGCATCTACAGAATTAATCTCTTGAGAGGGGGAGAAGATAATGAAAACAACTCCATCACCACCATTTGTGCAATAAACTAAACGGCTCCCATTTTGAGACTGTAATAGATAAACTGTGAAAAAGATCTCAACTAATTATAACATCAGGTTCCCAAAGCTCCAATATAACATGTACAATAACTAAAACATCTAAGAGTTAATCTAAAAACCCCAAACTCTGATAGGTTTAGTTTCTTCCAAATGAAAAATGGTTTATTAAACTTCTGCCAGCAACTGGAAATTCCCAGTGCAGCACATCAGTAGAAATACAATGGTACTTCTAGCAGGATCTCAGACTTTTAAAGAAAAAAATCACTTTTTTCTTAATCAGTATAGCAAGTCTTAATGAAGATGCTGCTTTTCTAATAATCTTATCTACCTCAACAAAGTGGGAAAATTCCTGAAGATCGCCTGCTTTCAAATTTTGTTGTAAAATACAACGCTTATTATAAAATACAACATTGGCCCAGATTCACCAAATATGGGTGGACTTATGGTCTCAGGCGAGTACAAACAGTTTTGGACTTTCTTGAAAGTTAAATAAAATATGACAACATTTTCTGTTTAGGAATATCCATCTAGATCCAGAAAGCCAAAGTGAAACATAGTTTTTTCTTTTCTTTTTCCCTTCCCAGAGTGCTCAAACACCTCAAGCTACACTGTAAACTAGAGCTAGTACTAAGACCCCTATACTAGGATTGGTCTGTGAAATGTGAGCAAGCTTCAGAGAAGGTTTTCATCACCTTCTGGAGGATGAGATTCAAGTAGACACTCTCTTCCCAATCAATGTCAGGGTCACCCAGGCCAGGAAGCTTCTTGGAATCCCTACGATAAACTTCAACTTCAACCTGCTGATAGAAGACAAGACATTGAGTAAACATGATATATAAACATTTATAGGCACATGCACATCTTACATTATACTCTCCACCTCCACTTTGGAACATGCTGTCCTGTTTGTCTGCCAAAATCTTGGGTTGGTGGACTTTCAAGGTCACTAAGCAAAGCCATCTCATTTTGCCACTTTTTTCTGGAGTTGGTGGTAAGTGAATGGAATAGGGAGGTGGAAGAGACTGTCCTGAAAATTCAAGAGATTTTAGTTTTAGATACTGGTTTCATATATTGATTGTGCAGCTAACATTCATATGCATGACTAGAGTTTTGGCTAGGCATGTTTTAGCCAAACTGAAAAAAAGATCTTCATTCACACATGCACAATACTCTTACCTTATTCTCATTAAAGGAAATGTGGCAGTAATCTAACATATCATGTGATATAATTATCGGTTGTTAGACATGGTCAAAGTGGCAGGAGGAATTCTAAGTCAAAGCAGAACAATGGTAGAGATACATTCATGCCAAAAGGACTTGAAAGGGTGTTATGAGGAACCACTTCAACTACTAATGAAGAACAGTCACCCTTAAGTAACAGCTTTGTAAAGATCATAGAACAAATCTTCACCCCAGCAAGTGGAACGAAAGAAAAAAAAGCATCCACAATAGATATCACAAGTAGAACAAAATGATACAAACTGCAATTTGACCAGCCCACCTTTATCCTTATAAAAGGTGCCAATGCATCGTTACTGATGAATATAGGGCAATTTGGTTTCATTCCTCACCCTCATTACATCCTATGGATTTGGAGTCTTCCTCAGAAGTTTCCCACCCAAGCACACATCAGCTAGGACAGACATTCAAAAAGCCCGAGCCTGAATTGATTCAATCTTTGCAGGTTAGTCTAACCTGGCTAGGCTAAACCAGTTTGTAACTGCTCAGACATCCCAGAAGTGCAGGCACATGCCTGCACTGACTCAGGCTAGAAGCCGGGGCGGGGGCACTAGAGCAGCCCTCCCTTCCCTTCCTCAGTAGTGAGCTGAGGGGGGCATGGCCAGGCCCCAGCAGGACACTGATTAGGGAGGGATTCTCTACTCCTGACCAGCCCAGCAAGGAATTGATAAGTGTTCATCACCCCATTAAGAAAACAACAGAGGGACATTACCAACTACCTGTTGATTCTGCATTTGTCCCATCTGCCACAGCATGGATCATAGCCAGCATGTGGTCTGCTACCTAGTGCTAAGAGGTGTCTATGTAAAGCAGAGGGGAGGGGGAATTCCTGCTTAGCAGGGAGTGGTGAGGGGAGGGGGGAAACAGGAGGAAGCCAGGCAGAGTCTGCAGTCTCTGCAGGAGCTGCAGCCGGGGAGCAGAGGGGAGGGGCCAGCTCTGCTGTGGAGTAGAGAGCCCCACCCAGCCCAGAGAGCATGCCAGGATGCTGGGAGAGTCTGGTTTAACTTAAACCAGCAAGCAGGTCTGAAATTTACCAACATTGCAAGGCAATCTGAACTGAAAATGCAGCAAAAATGCAGAAGACAAGGATGATAATGTGGCTGAGATATGAAATAGGAAACCTGAATAGTTTCCATGTATGAACTGTTGACTGCCTATGTCAGATGTGAACATTTATTTTGATTTGGTGGTACAGGAAAAAGAAGGGCTGAGTTGGCTTGAGAAAAAACAGATCTCACACACAACAAAGACAGCCAGAACGTGAGAGTAAAGCCTCAAGAAAAAAGATTCAGCACTCTGTTAATTGTGCAAATAATTCAAGTCTGCTAAGAAAACTAATGATAGAAATGAAGGCTGGCATATATACAGAAAGAATGCAAATGAGTCAGTACAATCTTTGAGAGGAGGAAACAAAACCAAAGTCAGGTACCATGAGGACTGAAAGCATACCTTTCTGTGCCTAAAATCAAATATAACTGTGTTCCATAAAATTGTCTTTCATGGGAGATGCATTTCAAAATGCTTTCTAGAATTAAATACTGCCAAATGACAAAGTGCACACTGAATAGTCACAGTGCTTTGGGGCAATTTTTTGTTGAATGTATTTAAATATTCAGTCATGAGACTGATACCTAAATAAAAAGAAATGAAGAGGGTAAAAAATAATTTATTTTAAGGGGTGATTTCAACAGAGGGGAAAACAAATATGGCAGAATGATACAGAAAGGTCACTGGAAGATCAGTGATGGACTGCATCATCAGCAAGACAGTAGGAAAAAGCAGAACAGGGAAAATACCATAATGGAGAAGACTAGTAACCCATCCAATTGACTATGCTCTCTCTTATAGTGACCAATAGAACATGCTTCTGGGGAAGGCAGAAGAGTCCCATAAATTAGAAACATGCAAGGAAAAAAGTTTCTTTCTAACCCTTGCTTTTAACGTGAAGCATGAGCATACCCTATGTGACTTTTTATTTTTACACACACATTTTAAATTATTCCCATAAACATCCAATTCATTTTAAAAAATCCTAGCTAAGATCCTAGCTTTCAGGATATCTAGCAGAATGAATTCCGTGGGTTAATTATGAGTTGTGTAAAAACAGAAGATGCTGGATCAAGATGAAGAAAGGAAGAGGCGAAAGGAACAAAATTAAAGTAGGTAAAAGCAAAATTTCACTACGTATCCATACACCAAATAAAACTGAGGATGGCATATTTTTTCTTCTTCTTGGCATGCTCAGGGTTCTAAGTTGGGCTCATTCAATACGTATGGAGAAGGATATTTACATGATTCCCAAAACTTCCTCGAGAGCTAAGATGGAAGGAAAGAGCACATCCTGACTCAAGGAAGAGATGAGTGGTTGCAGAAGGCCAATTCTACAAGGCACGACTGCCCAAGTACCATAGGTTCCTACTGGACAGAGACAGAGACACAGTAGAGAGAGACCAGATAACTCAACTATATACAATTTTTAAAACCTAGGAGGTCTATCTTCACATTGTGCAGAGCATGGCTGCCTCTTAGCAATACAAGTTCAAAGCTATTTCACTCACATACACACAAAATCATTGACCATTAACAGCTTTTTTTAAAATCAAAACACTGTAAGATACCTATGAAAATATATTCACTCAACATGATATTTTAGTCAATAACTGATTAGTCACTGTACCTGAATACTGCTTTCATTTATTACCTTCTCCTCTTCCCACAAAGTGAAGACAGAGAGAGAAAGGCACCTGTGATGCCTCCAATACCTTGTATTGCATGTGCATTTAGAAGAAGATTGTGTGAACAATAGAACATATGGTTGAGGGCAATTTGTGTCTCAGTGAATTACTGCTGTAGCTGTTTACTTTATGAGCCTAGCACTCAGGTTCTACTACAGGCAAAAGGAAATATATTTAGGGAAGTCTGATTGATTTTTACTGGGCAATAAACAGTGCTATGAATAGATTTTAGTCTCATGTGCAAGCCACCCAGAGTTACATGTGTGCACAAAGACAGAGATGATCTCATTCTAAAAGCAGATCAAGCAGGAGCCGAAGAGCATCCACTATTCTAAAGATATAAATAGACATTTCAATGCTTTCTGTTATCAAAAGCAGATAGTCTGAAGCTGACACATCAGGCATTTATGTTCGTGCTCCTATTATTGGTGGTCTCTGGGTAAGTAGCAGGAGAATGACCTGGTGCTAATGGCCCCTTCATGATGATTACATTGAAAGTCCAGGATTTCCCAAGGAGAATCGTAACTTTTGGGTCCCTTCATTTTTGACTGTCCAAAACTAACACACCTCAGCTGCATTACTGAATGCAATGAACATTCATCCTCTGATAATCTGATCCCATCAATCAACAACATTCCTGCTCCTCACAGCAAGCTCAACAACTCAAGCTCATTGCTAGTTGCTTTTATAAATTTAGGGTATTTGTTTGTAAACCCATTTTTAGATTGTAAATTTGTTTGTAAACATGGACTTCTTAGAAGCAGTGGAAGTGGAACCAATTACCTTCAAATCAAAGGAAGCACCAGGTCAGGCCTCAGCAAAAACAGCAGTACCTTTGGAACTTCTATCCCTGGCACGGTGTATGACTTAGGAATTAGTCCTACTTCCCTCAGCAACTATGGGACTGGAAAGTGAAAAAGATGCTGGCAGCAACTGCAAAGTTACTAAGCTGTGGGTGTTTGATCCCTCACATGAAATAAATAAACCAAGCAGGCTCAGTCCCAGCTGCTAGTGAACACATCAGCATTTGCACCACTTGTCCATAACTTTGGCCAGAAGCCAAGGCTGAAGAAACCTCCGATAATAATCAGCCACAAAAAGGCAGAGCATTGAAATGAAAGAACCCAGACAAAATGAAGATGTGTCAAAAACTGGGTACAGACCCTTGCGCACACATGTTTGCAGATGAACGAATGCTAAAACAACAGAAGCTCATCCAAGCTCCATGGCACATTGATTTATTCAAATGTTTGGAACTCCTTAATGGATTCTGTGCAATTTATCCACATTCATCTTCCTAGCTTTGTCCATAAGTTGAATGACAAAAAAAAAAAACATAATTTGGCAACATTTTGGGGCAGAATGCCAAAAACACCTGCAACTGATTTGTAAGATGTTGGCATGCCAGAGCAAATGACACAGAAGCCACGAGGGGCCTGATCCTCAGTATGGCAGTGCAGCTCCGGCCCCTTCCCCACCATTTGCCTGGAGATGCACAAGTCAAGCAAAACGCCTTCATGTGCCATGCTCTGACACCTGTGTTCAGGGTTGCCTACCCCTGAGGTAGAACAAAGACTTACTCTTGTATAGTGTGTGGTGGGTGTGTAGCAGGGTATGGATGTATATGTGGGAGCTGCAGGGTTATGGTGGGGGTGGAGGGGTGTGTGTGCGTGTGTGTGTGTGGGGGGGGTGGTCCTTGGAGTCCCTTAAGCTGCATGTGGTGACAGCATGTGGGGCCAGCCCCATGCAGCCCCATAGTGCACAGCTCCCCATGCTCCCACCCCAGTTCCTGACCACATGTGGTGGCAGGGTGCGGGGCCAGCCCC